GTCCTTAACTTTTGAACTTAATACTTGAAGTTTAGGACCAAGTGTCCTTAATTTTTGAACTTAAAACTATAAGTTAAGGACTTCTTATCCTTAACTTTTGAACTTGGAATTCAAAGTTAAGGACTGTCTGTCCTTAACTTTTGAACCTGTAATTGAAACTTAAGGAATGTCTGTCCTTAACTTTTTAACTTGGAATTCAAACTTAAGGACTGCATGTCCTTACCTTTTGAACCTATAATTCAAACTTAAGGACTGCATGCCCTTAACTTTTTAACATGTCCTTAACTTTCTAACTTAGTTTCTTTCTCAGGATTTAAAGAAAACTCTAGGATGAAAGCTTGATACTTTGTTGAAGATTTATGGGAAACCTGATGAAAGGAACATAGAGAGAGAATCTAGTGTTCCAATTACTAAAGATGGAGTTGATGATCACTGTCGTGGTACAGAGCCTACTATTTCAATTAACAAAGATACAAGGTGGTGGTGAACGTGATGAAATGGATGTGCATGCAGAAGTTCTATATGAACGCGATTTTAGAGATGCACATCTAGATGATGAAACTGAGAACGTCACTGATATTGGGAAAGGTTAGATATAGATTTTGAATTTTTTTTCATTGAAATTTATATTCAATAGCGTAATACATATAAACTTTTTTGTGATTACAAATATTTGTAGAATCTATTAATGGAGTGGAAGTTCAAGGTGTAGGAGAATGTCAAGGCCAGGAAAATCTAAAAGAGACAGGAGTAATAGAAAAAAATTGTAAATGTGGATTGCAATATCAGGAGGATTTAGAAAGTCCATTGGGAACAAGTGTCAGTGAGATTGTATGCAAATGCTTAGAAGGAACATATGATCTGTCTACACCTCTGTCATATAAAGAAAAATTTGGAGTTCAAACTTGTGACAATCAAGGTTAGATAAAATTTTCATGATATATTGAATGTTAGTTTTAGTGAATTATTAGAATGGGTATTAATTGCGTCGCGTTACAGAATCTTTTGAAGCTGCAAGGGAAGAAGTTGGTGTGGAGTATCAAGAGAAAAGTGGAGTACAATCTCAAGACCTAGAAAATACCGAAGGAACAAGCAGAAGTGAGATTGTTTCCAAATTCATAGATGGAACATGTGATCTCCCTACACCTCCCTCTCTTACCGACAATATTGGAACTCAAGAAAATGCTAGTGAAGATAATAATGTAATTGATCTTGACTATTGCAAACGGTTAGATAGTGTTTTTTAATTTTATAAATTGTTTGTTTTAATTAAAGATTAGTGACAAGTACTAATTGTGTTAGTTGTTGTAAATATTTTGCAGAATCTTGTGAACTTGGAACTGAAGAATATGGAGAACAATTACAAGATAAAGAAAATGTGCAGCTGGAAGATAAAGAAAATGATGCAAGCAATATTTTATCTGAATTGTCTCTTGAAAAAACACAAGGTAGTGTGAACAAGACATGTAATTATTGTATCCTAAATATTATATTCATAATTGAAATTTTGTCTCTTCATTTGACGACTTGCAGCAAACTAATATATTTATATAGTGTTGCCTGCAGAGGAAAACAATGATGAAGATCCTAACCAATATACGAGGAAAAGAAAGAGAGATAGTATTGGTTATGATTGTCCGTCATTTTCTATTCTTACTCCTACTCCTCCAAGTACACGAATGAGCATTGATGGGGGTTTGCCTATGGAGGTTGAAGGAAATATTAAAGAAGAGCTTTGTCCAGGTAAAAGGAATAAGAAGCTTAGTTGGCAGTTGAAATCTCCTTTTGATCAGGAAAGAAAAACAGGAACATCGATGGCAGACAATCAAAATACTCCCAAGATTTCAGGTTGGATAAAATCAACATATACTCGTAGGTGTATCTTTCATTATGCCATAGATGATGCAAAATTATTGAAGAAATTCATTGTGTGGTTGGGCAAGGAGAAAAGGAGAGGTCACAAAAAAGAGTATGTCTCTTAATGTATTTCAGTATTGATATTGAAATTGCTAAAGTTAAGTGTCCTTAACTTCTGTGATTGTAAGTCTAAGTTTAGGACCAAGTGTCCTTAACTTTTGAATTTTAAAATCAAAGTTAAGGAGCTACTGTCTCCTTAACTTTTCAACTTGGAAATCAAAGTTCAGGACTAAGTGTCCTGAACTTTTGAACTTGTAAGTCAAAGTTTAGGACCATGTGTCCTTAACTTTCTAACATGTTCAAAGCTAAGGACTGCCTGTCCTTAACTTTTGAACCTGCAAGTCAAACTTAAGGACTGTCGTCCTTAACTTTTGAACTTGATACTCAAAGTTAAGGACAGAGAGTCCTTAAGTTTTGAACTTTGAACTCAAAGTTAAGGACAAAGTGTCCTGAACATTTAAACTTGTAAGTTTAAGTTAAGGACCATGTGTCCTTAACTTTNTTTCAACTTGAAAGGCTAAGTTCAGGACTAACTTCTAACTTTGATATTTTCAAAATTTTCAGGGGACAAACTAATATATATGCTGATGATAATGGTGTGAGAAAGAATCCATACAAATTGTATCATCAAAAAATCAGTAGCAAAATGTTCTTCCTTGAGCTTTTAGATAGTAGCTTTGTACTTGATGATAAGGTTAGATAATTTGCAAGGCATTTATTTTCTTTATTCTTAATTTATCATTTTAATTATTTTATGACTGATGGATTTGTTTTATTTTTTGCCTTTTTATGAAGCATATTGACATTACCCTATATTATCTGAGAAAGAAGGAATGCTACCACCCTCACGACCATCCTTTTCGTTGCACAACTACTGGTATTCTTTTTGATAACTATATGGTGCTTGTGTATAAAGATTTTAGTGAAGATGCTACTGATGACTTTTGGTGTGCTGGTGATAATCAGTTGTTTCTGACACCATATGTATGGGGGGACAGTCGTAGATGTGGAATTGCTTGGACAGAGGTTGACAAAATCTTTTTTCTGTGTCGGCTTCCTTCAGAAGATGATAATGTTGTGACACACTTTCTTTTGGGGTATTGGACTTGAATCAGAAAAAGATTGATGTATACGATTCCTTATATAGTGAGCCATATGAGACAGGAATGAATCACATGGAAATGTATACACGCATGATCCCCCACTTGCTAAAGTTCTCACAGTTTGACAAACATCACAAGTCTTTTGGAAATGCCTTCAACAAATTTGATATTCAGTGGCAAAGATTACCACACCAAACTGGATCGTACATGTTGTTATTTGTTATATTATTTATATGTACTTTATATTTATTGTTTAATTCACTGCATATCTTACATTTTTCTTAGGACTGATTGTTGTGCATTCCTGATCAAGTATGTGGAGTTGTTGATGATTGGAAAGGATGTGGAGAAATTCCAACCTGAAGACATAACAAAATTTTAGAAAAGAACTTGCCGCAAATCTTTGGCCACATGGTGAGTGGAAAAGAAATTCTGGTTATGATACACCACCAGAAAATGTTGGCGATGACTATGAGAGTGAAAAGGAAACTTGTTGTCCAAAGGAGTTGTAGTTTAGTTGTAAAGAAAGTTAGTTGTGGTTGATCTTTTATATAAAATTGTTGTAAAGAATCCATATGAATTCTGCAAGTTCAGAAAACTTCTGAAATATTCTGTAAATTCCTCAAAATGCACTTATATTTTGTTTGCATAGCAAAAAATTTTGTCACAGCTATGCAAAATTACAATTTCAGAAGTAATATCAAGGCATCATGTTATTAATTTCTTTGTTTCTCTCAAGTGTTGATTTGTCCATGGAGTTTGTTAGTATTAGTTCATGAATAAGTGTAATTGAACTTCAAATTGAAAGTTAAGGACCAAGTGTCCTTAACTTTTGAACTTTGAACACAAAGTTAAAGACTGTTTGTCCTGAACTTTTGAACATGTAATTCAAACTTAAGGACTACTTGTCCTTAACTTTTGAACCTGCATGTCAAACTTAATGACTCCCGTCCTTAACTTTTGTAAAGTTAAGGATAAACAGTCAATAACCTTTGAACTCAAAGTTAAGGACTACCTATGCTTAACTTTTGAACGTGAAATTCAAACTCAAGGACTGTCTGTCCATAACTTTTTAACCAGCAAGTCAAACTTAAGGACAGACAGTCCTTAACTTTTGAACTTTGAAATATAAGTTAAGGACTGTATGTCCTTAACTTTTGAACTCGTAACTCAAAGTTAAGGACTGCTTGTCCTTAACTTTTGAACTCGTAACTCAAAGTTAAGGACTGCTTGTCCTTAACTTTTGAACTTGAAACTCAAAGTTAAGGACAGACAATCTTTAAGTTTTGAACTTTGAACTATAAGTTAAGGACTGTGTGTCCTTAACTTTGAACCTGTAACTCAAAGTTAAGGACTGTCTGTCCTTAACTTTTGAACCTGTAACTCAAAGTTAAGGACTGCCTGTCCTTAACTTTTGAACCTGTAACTCAAAGTTAAGGACTGCGTGTCCTTAACTTTTGAACCTGTAACTCAAAGTTAAGGACTGCTTGTCCTTAACTTTTGAACTTGAAAATCAAAGTTAAGGACTGTCTGTCCTTAACTTTTGAACTTGAAAATCAAAGTTAAGGACTGTCTGTCCTTAACTTTTAATCTTTGAACTCAAAAGAAACAAAAAGAAGGTAAGCAGAAAGAATTTTGGTAAATTCAGACATCTGCTCAAATAAGAATAATCTAAATGAATCCAATTTATAGCAAAAACTTAAAGAGTCGATAAACATAAGTGGATATATCTACTATTCTCTATGCTTTCTTGAAAATGGATGGACTGTCGGAGAATATATATAAGCTGTTCTATTATGACCAATTATTCTGCAACGACCACATTTGAAATTTATTTTTGATGACTCCGTAGCTGGAATGTGCCTTTTCTTTTGCCTTCTACCTGGTGGCACTTTAAAATCTGGAGGTTTAACAATTTGTGACTTAACACTCTCTGGTACAATCCACGAATCAGTATGTCCTACAGGATGTATTTGTAATTCATATGTTTTCAGCCAAGATTCCTTTAAGTACCAGTGCGAACAAAAGTTGGACTTCTTGATGTTTCTCTTCTCGATAGCTGCAATTGTATGTATGCATGGTAATTCATCAAATTGAAACTGAAAACAATCACATGTTCTTTTATTTAAGTCCACAAAGAAAGTTATTCCTTCTTCTTCAACTCTAGAACGCCATGAATCAACGGGGAAGACCTTTAATGTTGAAAAATTATAAGTTAGTACATTATGTTAAATTATATTAAAATCATAAGCTAAACATAGAACATAATACTTACATTCAAAGTAAATGCTAAATCTATTTTTTCGTCAATTCCTCCTCTACCCAACAAGAAACATCATAAAAAGTTTCTTCTGCTTCGTTTCTTCTTTCATAAAACCAACGTTGTAGCTTCACTTGAATGAAATCCATCATTCATAATATAGGTAGCTCCCTTGCTTCTAATAGGATAGAATTCATTGACTCAACTATGTTTGTTGTGAGCATGTCATATCTTCGTCGTGGACTACAAGAACGTGCCCACCTTTCCGGTGGTTCTTCCATCAAGTAGTCATAAGTTTTCTTATCTACTTTTGCTATATCTGACATGTATAGATCAAATTCTTTGCGCCTGTATACTCTTGCAGCACTTTGGAAAAGTTTTATGACCTCATTTTTCACCTTTCTTCGCTTTAGGTTCTGCTCCAATTGATAGATGCAAATCCCATGATGGCTTTTAGGATATACCTTTGCTATGCCATATGCAATAGCTTGATACCTGTCTGATAAAAAAATTAAATTCTCATGGCTCCCAATTGCATTGCGAAGCTGACTAAAGTATTACTCATAGGAATTGTTATTTTCAGATTTTGCTATTCCAAAGGCTAGTGGAAAAATTTGGTTATTTGCATCCTTTGAAACTGAAATCATTAACACACCACAAAATTTTGACTTTAAAAAAGTTGCATCAACAACAATCACTGGTCTATAATGATTCCAACCAGCTATTGATGTTCCATATGCATAAAACATATAAAGAAACCTGAAAATACAATATAAAACAAGGTTAACAGAAGTTAAGGATAGGTAGTCCTGAACTTCAAATTACAAAGTTAAAAGTTAAGGACAGACAGTCCTTAACTTAGAGTTTCAAGTTATAAAGTTAAGGACATGCGGTCCTTAACTTTGAGTTCAAATTTCAAAACTTAAGGACATGCAGTCCTTAACTTTGAATTACAAGTTCAAAAGTTAAGGACAACCAGTCCTGAACTTCTGGTTACAACTCAAAAGTTAACTGGTTAAAGACAGCATGTCCTAAATTTTATAAAACGTACTAATAAACTTTTTTTTTTGATTTACCTGTTGTTGTCGTCTATCTTTATGTTAGTGTAAGTTACAGGGTTTTTACTTCTCATCAGATACAAGTATGAAGACAATAATTCATAATTCTCTTTGAGAGTTCCTCTTATTAAAGCAGAAGCAAGTTGAATAGCACGCCACGCCTTGTGATACCCAATATCTAGTCCATACAATTTTTGCATCTCTGCCATGGCAAAAGCTGGTGTAACTTCAAACCTTGGGTCTCGAAGATTGTCGATAATGTAACCACTAATCAACTTTGAAGTAGCATCCCTTTGATCAGCTTTCATAGTGTTAACAGAACAGTCATGCTTTTTCTCAATCTTTACTATCTTGAACAGTGTTGAATCTTTAATTCTGAAAGCACGCACACACCAACAACACCTATCATCATTGCATTTCAACGAATATCTTGTTGAGCTTGATCTAACAACCTTGAATTCAAAATGTCCTTTAATTGCTATATTCGAAAAAAAGTTAATTATACTCTTCTTCTTGTCAAATACTGATCCGACTTTTATTTCATCCAATAAAGTATTTTCTCTTAATATCGTAGTTGGGGATTCTTTTTGTTTCAAATTTGATCTTTGTCTAGTTAGTTGAGTAGAGGTTTTTTCAGCAACTTCTTCGATTACTGGTGCACTCTCTAAGACTTGAATTCCCAAAGCTTGTTTGTTGTCAATCTCTATAATGCTTTGTCCTTCTACTTGAATAGAATCAAATGTTTGAAGCACCTCTTCAGTTATTGGTTGAGCTTCAACCATATCTATTTCCATTATCTGTTGGCATTTGTCTTGATTGTCATGTTGAGTTTCTCTTTGACATGTGTTTGAAGCACCTCTTCAGTTATTGCTTGAGCTTCAACCATATCTATTTCCATTATCTGTTGGCATTTGTTTTGATTGTCATGTTGAGTTTCTGTGTTGACATGTTCATTGCTTGTTGATCCAAAAACTCTTTCCGAAATATCAACAACGACAGCCCTTGAAGAATGAATGAGTTTTTAGTAACTCTATACATATGTGAAGATCTAAATCTTTGGATACAAGCATTCCTTTGCTTGTTCCAAGGTTGATATCAAACCATATCACTGCTTCAAACTTGTGTCTATCCAATTCAATAACTTCAAAGATCTGTTTAATGAAATCTTCAAACCGAATTGCCTCAGGTACCAGAACAAGTTTTGTTTGATGGTCAAGATATTTATAGTCTTCAGTCCATCTACCATTAAAAGTAACTATAATGCATATTGTTTCCATCCTGCAAGTCAAGAGAATAGGAAATTCAGGACATATTTTATAATGCAATCCTTGTATAATTAAGAACATGTACTGTAAGTTCAAGACCAAGTTAAGGACCAAGTGTCCTTAACATTTGAACTTGGAATTCAAAGTTAAGGACTGCATGTCCTTAACTTTTGAACCTGTAATTGAAACTTAAGGACTGCATGTCCTTAACTTTTGAACCTGCAAGTCAAACTTAAGGACTCATGTCCTTAACTTTTCAACCTGTAATCCAAACTTAAGGACTTCCTGTCCTTAACTTTTGAACCTGCAAGTCAACTTAAGGACTCTTGTCCTGAACTTTTCAACTTGAAACTCAAACTTCAGGAACTAGTGTCCTTAAAAATTAGGACACCATGTCCTTAATATTATGTGCTCAATTTTATAAAATTAACTTGTAATTCAAACTTAAGGACTTCCTGTCCTTAACTTTTCAACTTGAAACCCAAAATTAAGGACCAAGTGTCCTTAATTTTTTCAATTTGAAACTCAAATTTCAGGACTTAGTGTCCTTAACTTTTTCAAAACAATTTGCAAAACTGTGACAGTATGTCCTTAATATACAGAAGAACAACAACAAAGTTAAGGACATTGTGTCCTTAACTTTTTCAAAACAATTTGCAAAACTGTGACAGTATGTCCTTAATATACAGAAGAACAACAACAAAGTTAAGGACATTGTGTCCTTAACTTTTTCAATTCAATTTGCAAAATGAGGATACTATGTCCTTAATATTATGTACTCAATTTTTATAGAATTATCACAGGACGTGATGTCCTTAACTTTATCAATCCAGAAATTCAAAAAAATCAAATTTCTAATTACTGTATAAAAATCAATAGAAATCGGAAAGAGTATAACTATGTCGAAACAAAAATCAATAGAAAAACATAAAAGTAGAACTTACTATAAATTTATGTCGATTTTTGGATGAGAATGTTGAATTTTTGAAATCGGAAGAGAATCTTCTTCAATTTCGACGATCACAGTGTAGTTTTGCGCTGCTGCTGCTGCTGGTGATCGTTCTTAAAAGCGTATGTATAAGTTATAGCAGAAGGGTATTTTCGTCCAATCAGATATAAGTTTATTAAACCAGTGACTAAAGACTAAAAACATTTAAAACACTGACTTTAAAATAAAGATAAGTGCTGTTAGTGGCTATTTGTGCACATCGCCCACATTCTTACCTTTCGAAAGCTCACATTCTGCTTTAATTTTGATGGGCCCACTAAACCTGTGATAGCCACGTTAGCGGGAATAACTTTTAGAAGAGGACTGCTAAAAGCTTACTCCATTCCAATTGACGTAAACTTGTTTTACTAGGTACGAATTTACGAAATTTAAAAAAAAAATGGGATTTATGATCTTAAATAAATCAAAAAGGATCCACAATATTTGTGTTGCTATAAAAGTTTTTCATTAACGATAAAATTATAAGTTTAAGTTAAATTATTTTTAAATTTAGAAATGAATTATTATTTTTGTACATATTTCCTATCTTGTCACACTGATTTCTCCATTTTACAATTTACACAAATTTTATAACAGCTCTTTAAACATTTGTAGTTTTGTTCCTACTGAATTTTAGTTTAACATCTTCATACGAATGCGACTACTCGGTTTACATCAGTAGTAAATTATTTGTGTTTGTTTCATTCAACACACGGTCATAGGAGAAAATTTAAAATGTTCAAGTCATTGTTAATCTTCATCCATTTTCAAATTTTATATCATTACATAAAATGGTGTATCAGGAAAATTTAAAAACTATTTTAAACGTAAAATAATTATTATGTACATGCTTAGGCTATTTTCTAAACTCATATCTCCTGCTAGTGGTGGCAAAATGAATAATAAAATAATTTTTTGATTATATTATTCATTAAAAAATGGGTTAGATAATGAATTTTTTAAATATGGATCAAATATGGAGAACTATATTATCCACTTAGAAAAATGATAACCAATGTATAACTAATGAGTTTAGATTTTACATTTGTAAAAACTCAAATTTGGGGTTCTCAAGTTTGAGAGACTAAGAATTCTTCCAAAAGCGATCATATTCAAGAAGTCATAGATAATATGGATATCCATATCTATATTATCCGCCCGTTAATCCATTTTCTATCCGTATTAAATATGAGTCGGATCGGATAATTTATTAGTTTTTGTATTACACATTTTTTACCCCATCCATATCTGATCCGACCCGCCTGTTTGACATCCCTATCTCCCAATATCAAACTGTATAAAATATCTCAGGGACTAATTACGTATATTAAAAACTACAATTATATCTTAGGGTAACTACAACTACCACAATAATTTATGTGGTAATTAATTTTTACTTGAAAATTTGTGCTAAAAAAGTTATTGATGTTAACTTATTTCAACAAAGATATTTTTCAAGAGCCAAATTATTTTACAGGAAAGATTTATCAAATTATTTTGTAATACCTTTTACAGTAGTTAACTCGGTAATTTCTAAAAACTCTTTAATTATCAAGTCTATCAAATACTATTTTGTTTAGCAAAACACTTGCACAATATTTTTGACTTGAAGTTTGAAATACTCAAGTTGAAGAAAAATAATCTTGCAAAAGACATATTTTCTTTTTTTTGTCGTATTCTTTGTTTAATTTTTCATTGCAAAGTTAGATGTCATTTGAAGGTCTTTTTGTCTACTCAAATTTTATTGAAAAGGTTTCCAAAGAAATTTGCCAGTGAATTGTGAAGAATAAAGAAGGGAGAAAGTAAATAAAAATAAAATAAATCAATATTTACTTATCAGTTAAACTACTAAGCCTATTTTTTAGAAAACAATCGGATAAATAGAGTACACAAAAAGCTATTAAGAGTTTATAGCTTGTAGCTACGGTCAAATAAGCAAGATAAAGTTAATGAAGAAAATAATATTTCAAAATACTATTGAAATTAGAATGAATAAGAATGAATCTTGCAAATATGCAATCCTGAAATTCTTATAACATTTATTGAGGAACAAAATAAAATATAATACTTATTGCAAACATAATAATTAAATTATCTATCTCAAAGGGGAGAAAGAATGAGGAAAAAAATTTACAATATTTATTGTATCAGAGCACTAGATTCCCTTAGGTCTCACGAGTCATGAGCAAGTCTAGTAGAGTCTCGCGGATCGGTACGGAGACGTATGTACTTATCTTCGAGAGGCTACAGGGCTATTAGGAGCACTTCCTTTCTTGATTTCCTCATTGCGCGATTTGATTCCTTTGAGTTTTATGCCTTTGTTCCCTTCGCAATCGATCTTATGCGATGCGAAGCGCTTATTAAATCAGAAATTGAGAAATTTTAAAGGTACTACAAAGGTGGTGCGGGATGCTTCTCCCTGCGTAGTTGATTTGACTATTGTTGTCGCCTTACGGAAGGATATTCTGTCGTTTCAGCTCAATAGTTGTACTTCTGAGAGCTCTGAGGCTAGGCACAAGTTGCCATGATGTTTATGAACGGTTGTCGCGCAGTATTGATGTGATGGTAGGATGCTTGCCAACGTGTCGGGGCAGTGAATGACTTGAAATGAGGTTTACTCAGTGCATGATTTAGAGATTCAATATTTTATTCCCGGCGGGGGAAAGGCAATCGAGATAAGAATGTTCAGATTTGGGTTGATGGAGTAACGAGGCTGGGTATTTGCGAGCATGGTGGAATTTTCATCTGTGATGAGGTGTCGTTGTCCTTGTTGAATGTACTAAGTTCGCCGGTGTTAAGACTTTCTACAATTCGCCCTTGGGGCAGGATATTGTAAGATAGTATTGGAGAAGCAGCTGTCAGAGATCGCGGGGTGTGGTAGTTCAGGATTGAATGCGTATTTCTAATGCTGACGGTTCGAGAGAGATGATCTTCGGAAAGGTTTAAAAGTTAGTAGCGGTCTATTAGTTCAAGTGCTGGCGAGATAGATTTTGATCTAAGGCATCAACGGAGCATTAAAGGATGAGGAACGACGTGTGGGAAGTGTCATGCGGTGGTTAAACTTCTAGAAGGCTAGGTGTATGAAGCAGAGGTCGAGTAGTTTCTTAAAGAAGTGAGTTTGCCCAAAGTGGGAGAGTGGCAGAGTAGCGTATGGGATCAATGGCGGGATAACTACACACCTAGAGGAAAAGTCTAGAGTGATTTGGGATTCAGGGTGGACAGTGACTGGGTCTACGGGCTTAATTTGAAATATCGGCTATTATACGGCAGGAGATTTGATACAACAAAAAGGAGTTGCTCGATATGAAGAAGGATACAATATGACCTTGGATTTGGAGGTGCCGTTGCACAATTAGTGATGTCCCTAAGAAGTGAACGGACTAGTACAATTGGTAGATAAGCACAGGCTCATGACGGGCTATGGATGGTGTGGTGATTGTACCTCATGCAACGGCGTTGAAAGATGTCGGCGTGTAATCTCCACAGGTGGGTTATCTCCTGTGAGCAGATCAGCATTCACGTGGTTGGCGAAGCTTCTGCG